TCTCTCTCTCTCTCTCTCTCTCTGTGTGTAAGTGTCTGTCTCTGTCTCTGAGACTATTGATTCTTTCTTCTCTCAACAAGTGATCAGCAGCTGCAATGGTTGTTTTTTTGTGCATGTGTTTTTTACAATCAGATTACCGATGTGTATATCATGTGTCACAGCACGGTGGACTCAGATACTCGTCAATTTGGGGGCATGTGGCGTTATTGGTATCATCTTAAAGCTTGTTCATTTGCCTTGCTTTTGGGGAAAAAATTTCCCATCTATCTTGGGTAGAAGTCGACATGTTTGCAAATGAAGGAGGTGGGGTCGCCTGGTTTCAGAGGTTAAATTTGTTAGAAAATGGCCGCCAAAGTTTGGTAACTTCATTATCTTGAGAGTCCTTGAAAACTGAAAATTTACACATTTTGTGCCTTTAGTCAACGTTTTTCAGTCAATTCCACCTGGAAATGTGTTTTTATATGGACATAAAGGAGGTTGGGCCAAAAGATAAAAATTAGACAAAAATTTCCTAACTGGCGGAAAATTGCCTGTTTTCCCGGTTTCATTATTTTGACGTGCGCGTGATCTGATTTCACCACGCTGCCTCACGTTTATGTATTTCAAAGGATTGTTCTACGTTGAATGGGCCGGTATTCATGAAACATGTATTTTGTAAAATTGTCGAATTTTTTATTTTATTGTGCAAGGCCTAGAGGCACCAGGGAGTGGACGCTATAGAAGTCATATTTATTTTTTTAAAAATTTTTTTAATTATTATTATTATTATTGTTATTATTATTATTATTGCTATTGTTATTATTATTATTGTTGTTATTATTATTGCTACTGTATTAGCATTTGAATATAATATCAACGTTTCACAATTTTTTTACTCAGAACAATTCTTCTTCTTCTTCTTATTATTATTTTTCCTAATGGGATAATGTTGTATTTGTGGCTCTGAATATCAACATGCAGTTGGGAGCGCTTTAAACCTCTTGCTAAAACTAAAACTGAATATGAACATTTCACTATTTCTTTATTCGGAGCAATTCTTTTTCTTCTTATTATTATTATTATTATTTTTCCTAATGGGGTATAGCTGTATTAACTTTTGAATAGAATATCAACCTTTCACTATTTCTTTAATCAGAACAATTCTTTTTCTTCTTCTTTTTCTTCTTCTTTTTTTTTCTTCTTAATTTTCCTAATGGAGTATTGCCTAATGAGTATTTGAATATATCAGCATTTCACTATTCCTTTACTCAGAACAATTCTTTTTTTTCTTATTATTTATATTGTTATTTTTCCTAATGGGGTATTTCAGTATTAGCATTTGGCTATATCGACGTTACACCATTTTTTTTACTCAGAACAATTCTTTTTCTTCTAATTACTTGAATTATTATTCCTAATGGGATAATGTTGTATAAGCGGCTTTGAATATCAACATTTCACTATTTCTTTACTCAGAACAATTCTTTTTCTTCTTTTTATTATTATTCTTATTTTTCCTAATGGAGTATATCTGTATTAGCATTTGGATAGAATATCAACGTTTCATTATTCGTTTACTCAGAACAATTCTTTTTCTTCTTATTGTTTTTCTTCTTATTTTTCCTAATGGGGTATAATTGTTGTATTAGCATTTGAGAATATCAACATTTCACGGGTTTTTTTACTCAGAACAATTCTTTTCTTCTTATTATTATCATTCTTATTTTTCCTAATGGGACAATGTTGTATTAGCGGCTTTGAATATCAACATTTCACTATTTCTCTACTCAAAACAATTCTTTTTCTTCTTTTTTTTCCTAATGGGGTATTGCTATATTGGTATTTGAATATATCAGCATTTCACTATTTCTTTTACTCAGAACATTTCTTTTTGTTCTTCTTATTTTTATTCTTATTTTTCCTAATGGGGTATTTCTGTATTAGCATTTGACTATATCAACCTTGCACCGTTTCTTTACGCAGAACAATTCCAACCAATCCAGCTCTGTGCGCGAACTACAACTGTGACTTGGACCGTAAGTACCGTATGCACGAGGACTCCTCGCATTACTTCCAGTGCCTGTACCGACAGAGGAACAAGGGAATATTTACCGCAGACCAGGTGAGAGCTACAGACTGTCTTTTTTTTTCTCTATCTTTTTTTCGGCCCTAAAATCTGGAACACCTTGTGCAGGATCTCAGAGAAATAATAAATTTTGATACGTTTAAGTAAGTGATTGCTCTAGACTCATTTGTTTAATTCTTAGTAATAGTGTTTTAGTAAAGTAAGTGCTGATAGGTTTTTGTTATATTTTTTACTGCTGTCCTTTTGTCTATATATAAGTCTAGTTAATGTATGGTTGTGAAAGTTCTTCTTTATGTGGTTCTGGTTTTTCTTGTTTCTGTGAAATATTTTCTCTTGTGTGAATGATCACGTGATTGGTGTAAAGAGCTCAGAGCCTATCCTAGTATGGTATAGAGCGCTATATAAATGCAATCTATTATTATTATTTTAATGTTATAGAAGACTACTTTTTACTGAACTGCTCTGTCTGTTGTCCTGAGTGGGGATGGGCTTAAGAAGTTGGGGCAGTAGAAGAGCAGACATTCTAGTAGACAGTTTAGTGGGTGGTTGGCAGGTGCTCTAGTGTGGTTTGCTCCTTCTTTCCTATAAAACTTCTATCGTCCTTATCTCTCCTCCTCCTCCTTTGTGTACGTTACTCTCTTGCGACACATCTATTCTTCGGCACTTATATGACCTTATTGTGCTGCAAGTGCCGTAAAACTCTTACTAAAACAAAAGACAGTTTTGAAATTTTGATTTTGATGGTCATTACATAAATACATTTTTAATTACCCCCCCTCTACGTCTTGTTTGTTTCCCTTTGTTTTCAGAACATGAACAACAGGGAGAGAGCCCGCAACACCCGACAGAACCCCGCGGGTACGAGGCGCGGCTACGAGTGTCCGGAGGAGAGAGACTACTACCCCTACTGGCACCCTTCCCCATGGGTGGTGAGTAAGGCTGACTTGTTGCTCTGCTGCTGTTGTCTGCACGTCTTCTTCATTCTTTATTTGCCCCCCCCCCCCCCCCCCCCTCCCCAGGGCAATGCCACTGACTGAAGTGTCTTTAGGCCATTCCCAAAGGTGGGGTATTAACATGTTCGTAAGCCCAGTAGAACTGTAAATGGGCTGATTTATCAATGTCATGCTCATGGGCGTAAGAAGTTGGGACAGTAGAAGAGCAGGCATTAGACAGTTTAGTGGGTGGTTGGTGGGTGCTCTGGTGTGGTTTGCTCCTTCTTAAATAAAACAGCATGTCATGAAAAATACTGATCTTCTATTGTGTAATGAAGAATAAAACACAGGGGGAACTGCTGCTTTTTCTTTCGTTATCCTTACTACCGTCATTTTCTCTCTACTTCTTTTGTATGTTTGTCACTCTTTTGTGAACTGCTATTTCCGGGGTGCCTTTTAGTCGAAGCAGACTTTGTGCTGTTTAGGCTAGAGAGGTGAGCAGAGTAAGCCTGATTCCCTGTTTGGACTTCTCTGTTGACATCCACCTCTTGGAGCTCATATGACCGTATGCAGTTGCGAGCGCCGTAAAACCTCTACTAAAACTAAACTACTAACTCTTTGTCTCAGAGGGGGGTAAACCGACTATGCCGGGGCCCTTTTTTGGTACGAAATGTAAAAATGACAAAAACGTCACTAAATTGGTCACTAAATCAAAACAAGTGAACCTATTTTTGGTAGTTCTTCTTCTAATGAATTAAATCCTGATAAAAGAGACCTGTTTTTGTGGGTGGTTGGCGGGTGCTGTGGTGTGGTTTGCTCCTTCTTTCCTATCAAACGTCTGTCGTCCTAATCTCGCCTCTTTTTTTTGTGTTTGTTGCTCTTGTAAATCTTCTAATCATCAGCACTTAAATTATTACCTTTTTGAGTTGCAAGTGCTGCAAAACTCTTATTATTTTTTTTTTCAAAACTGTGTTTTGCTTTCTTTTAGTAACACCTCTGCTCTTCGCTACTAATATGACCTATTTGTATTGTAAGTGCTGTAAAACTCTAACACAAAAATCGAATTGAACATCTACTTTAGAGTTTGTGTTATTCTTCATTACACAATAGAAGATCAGCATTTTTCATAACATGCTGTTTTATTTAATATTGTTTATATTAGTAAGCTCTTTTCTTAAAATAGGAAACTAGGTAATGTTAAAACAAATAGTTGGAGACATTTATTGCAGGCCATATTATGTACCAATACAATTTTTGTTCTTTTTTTTTTTTTTTTTTTTTTTTTTTTTTTTTTTTTTTTTTTTTTTTTTTTTGAATTTCTTGATTTTCGGTTTGTCAAATTGATTACATGTCTGTTTCAGGACGTTGGTGGTTGGCGGGTGTTCTAGTGTGGTTTGCTCCTTCTTTCCTATCAAACATCTATCGTCCTTATCTCTCCTCCTCTTTATTGTGTAAATGTTACTCTTTTGTAACGCATTTATTCTTCGGCACTTACACAACCTTATTGTGTTGCAAGTGCCGTAAAACTTTTAATAAAACAAAACAAAAATAGAGATACGACTAGCAAGCACTGAGGTTACAATTTATTGTAGGCCATATTTTTTTTCTCTATCTTTGTCTGTTTTTTAATTAATTTTTTTTAATTTCTTGTTTTTCAACATTAGTCAAAGTGATTCCTGTCTGTTTCAGGACATCGCTGTCATGACCAACGACGTGTCCCGGTGTCATTACTACCGAAACGAGAGCCAGAACGTCAAGTCGAAATGGGACTGTGTCTTCCCCAAAGCTGTCATGGACAAGTTCAAAGTGAACAGAGTTAACGTGCAGCTTCCTAACAACGAAGAGGACTGTAAGGTTAGTATCTTTGTTCATATATATACATGAGGCATCGTGGTAAAATCAGGTGCTCGTCAGAATAATTAAATATAAGAAATGGGTATTTTTCAGCCAGTTTTGGTAATTTTTTTCGAATTTTTCTTTTTTGGCTCAACACCTTGTATGTCCTTTCAAAAACATTTTTACGTGTGGATTTTACTAAAACGTTGATTAAAGGTAGAAACATTGTAAGTTTTCAGTTTTCACAGACTATTCAGTTATGGAAATAACAAAATTTGTCGGCCATTTTCTCACTAATTCTATCTTTAAAACCAGGCAACCCCACCTTCTTGAATCTCAAATATCGTGACTTCTATTCAAGATAAATAGGGATATTTTTTTCATCAAATGCAAGGCAAATGAAATACCTTTAAGATGATACAAATAACTCCATATGCCTAAAAATTGACGGCGCCTGATTCCACTGCATCGTGACGCATATATGATATTTCTGTTTTGAAATAACCTTTGTTCTTTTAACTTGACTGGAGATTCATTTCTGATAAATAATTATCAAAGTTTCTTTTTGTGATGAATGGACTCCTGAAAAGTTTTTATTCACCTTTCACAAATATTTCTGTGGTATCAAAAGTATGAAAAATCAGCTAGATTAAATCTGAAAAGTTGGTTGTCATGTAAGTGTTTAATTCCCAGTATGTTTCATGGATTGTCTAATCCTGTAATATCAATACATTTAATAAATATATGTGAGGCAGCGTGGTGGAATCAGGCTCTCGTCAAAATAATGAAATCGAAGAAAACAGCAGTTTTCTCCCTGCTTAGCGATTTTTATTAAATTTGTGTTTTTTTGCTCAACCCCTTTTATGTCCATTTACAAACACATTCCTTTGAGGATTTCACTGAAAACGTTGATTAAACGCACAAACATATAAATTTACAGTTTCCATGGACTCTCCAGCTTTGGAATTTACCAAGCTTTGGCGGCCATTTTCTCATTAGTTTTACCTCTTAAACCTGGTGACCCCCACCTCCTTCTATCCAAAATATCTCCACTTCTATTGAAGATGGGTGGGTAAATTTTTCATTGAAAGCAAGATAAATGAACAAGCTTTAAGATGATACCAATAACTCAATATGCCCCAAAATTGACGAGAGCCTGATTCCACTACACTGCCTCACATGTACTCTCTCATTTTGGTTTTACAGCCAAGAAAAATTTCCGTCTGGGACAATAAAGTATTATCTTATCTTAACTGATCTTTACACCCAGGGCTTAACCCTTTGAACCCGTTAGGCCGGTAAACTGGCCTTGGCTTGGGCAATATTTTGCTGTATACCGTAAGGCCGGTTCACCGGGGCACGGACTACCCTGAGTTGTGTATTCCGTCAAAAGTACTCTCTTTATTTCTTGTTCATCGTCTTACAATATTTCCACCTTGGAATAAGGTCAACAAGGGAGTGCACAGATGTGTTTATTTCTCCATGTTCTTCTCCTCAGTCTTTTTGTGTATGTGCCCCCAAAACACTGTTAACTTTGATGAAATTTGCGAAAAATGTCCAGGGATAAAGACTTGACAAATTTCAAAATTTAGGGTTCAAAGGGTTAATATTTTCTATTGCAAATTCAACTGAATTACAGAAGTTTGAGCTCCCAGCAAAAATCAAGAGCGATATACGCAAGCCGCAGTGGGTAGAGTTTCCTGCCCATGGAGTTGCAGCCCCTGACTGTAGAGAGACGGATTTCACAAGGGACAACCATCTGGGAAATGGCATCGGAGGTTACCCCAACATGTTCAACTGGACGATCCCGAACAATGTAGAGCATGAGAACTGCATCTTGAGGATAAGGTATTGCATAAATGGGCCACAACGATAAGAGAATGTACAATCACTTTTCTGCCATAAGCTCACAAAACGCCTTTTTTAAATTTTTGACACCAAAATTCTTTATTTGCTTAATCAAAAGCTTGATCAGTAACCCTATTTGTGTGGGGGGAAAAAATCAAATTTAAACTGTGAATTGTTTTTGGATAAATTAGAATTCAAATTCCAGAATGACTATTATTATTTTTAAATGTTTACTCTGTCATAAAACCTCTGTTTCTCGGAACTGCTTAGAAGAGAAAAAAACGGCGTTTTGTCAGTGTACGGCAGTTTTGATGTTGATGATTTAGTCGAACTTACTCTAATGGTCACATATCCAAGACAATCACATGGACGAAGGACTACTTCCCATTTACTCCCTTTTCTTTTTTATAATATGTGTCACGACGCGATGGAATCAAGCCCTCGTCAATTTTCGGGCATATGGAGTTATTGGTATCATCTTAAAGCTTGTTCATTTGCCTTGCTTTCGAAGAAAAAAATATCCATTTATCTTGAATAGAAGTTGAGATATTCGCGATTGAAGGAGGTGGGGTCATCTGGTTTCAGTGGTAAAATTAGCGAGAAAATGGCTGCCAAAGTTTGGTGACTTCGATAGCTCAAGAGTCCTTGAAAACTGCAAATTTATATTAGTTGTGCTTTTAATCAAAGCTTTTCCATAAATCCACACATAAAAGTGTTTGTGAATGGACATACAAGGTGTTGAGTAAAAAAAATAATTTTTTTTAAATTCAAAACTGACAGAAAAATGCCAATTTCTCGGATCTCGTTATTTTGACGAGCGTCTCATTTCTCCATGATGCCTCACATATAATGACACTGTGCAAGACATCCACCTGTATATATAAGACAACCACTTTTCCACTCGACAATGGCTGGCTGTCTTGGACAATTTCGACTGTATAGAAATCGTGATCATAAAGATTGGCACTTATGGTTGACCCATTGCTTTTTCAAATTACAAAAAGTATTAGATAACAGCAAGTTGTAATATAGAAGCTACATGAAACATTTTTAAACTTTAGTTTTAAAAGAATATGTATACTTGTAGAACAGAGGTAAACACTTGATGTAGCATTTTTGGGGGAGTTTATTTTTTTTTGCTTACTGAGTTATAGTATAAGAATAAGATCTCCTAACAAATTTTGAAATGGTACAATTTTTGCGAATCTCCTAAACTGCGTTGGAACACAGATAAATATACAACCAAAAAAAAAAAGAAAAATTAGGAATCAGAAAAAAAGACTCAAGGTATTTTAACTCAGCTTAGTTAACATTAGAATTCATAGTATTCATGCAAATAATGTTCTTAGTTCACTTTCTTATTCTTTTTTGTTCTCCCCTTTGCGTTGTTTAGGTACAACATTTCAACTAGTGACTATGATGGGTGGACGGCCAATTCCTCCTTCAACGCAAACCCCCGGAGGAGAAACGATGGCGCGAAAGTTCCGCTGGCGGACAGATTTGGCTTCGAGTCGGAAGAAATTGCCAAAGAGAGAGGCTACATCTTTAAGAACAATCCTGTGGTGAACGTTTTTGATGGACTAGACCTTGACCTGAGGCTAGCCGTAAATACTGCACAGTTTGGTCGCACTTTTCAAGACAGGTAAGTTCAGAAAATTGTTCGTACTTTTCGAAAGGGGTGTGCTCTGAAAAGTAATTTGGCATAAATGAGTGAGTGAATGTCATGAATTGAAATGAGTGCTCTTGTTGTTGTTGTGTGTGTGGTAACCTATCCGTTCGAAATGTTTGAAGCCCTGAAGAGCGTGCTCTTCACCAGGGCCACCG